TTCTTGAAATGTCTGATCCAACTTACACAATGTCTTTGATTTATGTTTGAGAAGTGCAAAGCTCCTAGTATGTAATTGTGATTCAGAGTGAACTCTGAGGACCAAGTTGCAAACTTGAAAGACCTTGAGTTTCAAAGGACCGTGCTAATGGGCAGCAAGAGAATATTTCAAGAGAGGCTTTTGCAAAGGATCCTCTTTGACAGGGTGAGCTGTGTCAGCTTTGTGACTCTGGGGTCATTACAGAAGGATATTCACAGTGAAAGGCATGAAAGCAAGTGAGCTGCCAGGCAGGAATAAAAGCAGATTAGCTAGCAGCGCGATCAGTTACTGGCAACTGACCATTAGCAGTGAAACGTAATAAGGTTGAAATCTCTGTGTAGGAGGATGGAGGATGCTGTATTGAAAATAGGATTGTCCCAGGCTTAGTTGAATAATACAGCGGCATTCATACCGCACTAGATCAATACTCCCTATGAAACCAGGGATGCGGTCCATCCTGGTTGGAGAGCGCAGGTTCTGGTAAGGTTTTGAGGTTTTTACGAAACTCAAGCTCCTCAGGGTTTGTTTTTTTTTTCCCAGCCCCCAGCCTCTCCTTTATTGCTAGAGAGAAGGCAAGAAATCTTGCAAGAATCCCATAGTTATGCCTCTGTTGCTGCTTGCTAACTTTGAAGCATGTTCAGAGTGACCTGATAATACTCCCTGGTATAAGGCTGCCCTTCCACAGCATGCTGTAAAACAGGCTCTCTCTCCTAGCTCAGACAGATAATCCCATGAGCTAAGAAGGGTCTGACCTGGCTGTACTTGGACAGGGGCCTGCACCTAAAACAGAATGGTGTGTTTGAGTCAGTAGACGGCACTTGCTAACCCTAGAACCAGTTCTGTAGCTTAGTTTGTGGGAAGACTGAGCCTACATAAGTCATTTTGTTGAAGTCATTAAGTAGACAGAGCCTTAGTTTATGAGGCTTTATAAAATCCTGTGATACTGCTCCGAGACAAGAGGATTCACCAGCATCTCAGCCAAGTTACTTCATTTGGCAACTATAGCATTCCACCCCCCAGTACGACTTTGGGGTATTTCTAGCCCATGCCACCGTAAATGCAGATGTGCTAAAATAGCAACTGAGATTTCCGTGGCGGCCTCCATTGAGAGTGTTGTGGTGGAGTTCATTACCTCTGAAGTTCTGGGAAGCTGATTTTCAGTCTTTGGGAGGTGGCTGTCAGGAACAGGATGGGTCCAGCATACTGTCAAGGCAGGTAAGTTTTGGTTCAGGAACTGGAAGAGGAACTTAATCTTACTGCAGAGGTTTGTGACACTTCGCTGCTTCTTCTCAGAAGTGGCTGCATTTGAGTTAGAGATCTGATTTGGCATTTAAAACTGGAGTTGCTGGCCACTAGGTAGATATGTAATATTGCATCCTTAATCCAGCAGGAATGGCAGCACCCCCTTCAGTTAAGGTTGTGTGTCTTTCTACATACTAAGCCCCTGGTTTTAGCAGCTCATAAGTGTCGTCTCCCCCTCCAAAACTCGCTGTCCTTTTAGCAGAAAGATTTCCTTGCTTTGCCTCCATCTGTGTCCCCAAGATATGCAGCCTAGGCTGAAGCTTGAGGGACAGCTGGAAATGACTTTGCAGGTCTGGACACAGGCAGAAAAGCTCTAATTCAGATGCCTGCTTTTTATTTCCTTTTGCAGAAGGAAATTTCCTTTTGTAGCAGTGAAACAGCTGTGAGTAGAAAGGTGACATTTTGCCAGGAGATAGCCCTCTCTAAAGGCAGCAGTGCCCTTTCTGCTCCAGAGGACATTTGCCTTTTGATTTTACTGAGTCATGAGAATCAAAAACTGTACAGCTGTAAAACCTTTGTTTTAAAACCTCAGCTGGCGATGCATGCCCGGAAGGATGTATTAGCTAGCATTGAATCCTGCAGCTTGTCTTGGCTAGAGTAGAGCAAAGTCCATAGCACGCCGAGTTCGGTATGTGCACGTGTGCTCTGCCTGTTGGAGTCTTAGTTCTAGAGAGAAATTTAAACACTGGCAGGTTGGCCCAGCCCATGCGGGAAGGTTCTTCGGGACCCTGTAGGGTGTGAAGGGAAGAAGGAAGGGTCTCTGCAGGCTATGTAAGCCACAGAGGGGAACGCTCCTGTGAGTAAACTGAAACTTTGTCTGGCTCTGGGGGTTTCATTCTGTGCATGTTAGAACCATGCTGGACTGCAGCGGTGGAGACAGGAAAGTCAGTCCTGTGATGCCTGTGCACAAGTGAGTAGCGTGAGGGGCCTGAGGCTCAGTGTGAACAGTGTGGCTACTGGTACAATGGATTTGGTGGGGGTGTGCTCCATGTGCATTATGGCTGGGCTGGTGCAACTGCTGTGACCTCTGCCTAGCAGCCTGCTTAGCTCTGTTCTGTCTTTCTCACAGCCTGCGAAGTGCTGCTGGCTGGAGCGCAATCCCGGATTATAGTGTGGGGCCCACATTCTTCCGAGGGAGACTGACTGTGCAGCAGCTGCCTCAGGACACTTTCTTGAAGCTTGAGGTGAGTTGCTGTGTGTCCTTGTATGGCTGGTAAAGGAGAGCCTGGCATGATCAGAAGGCTTCACCTGGTCTTTGACAGAGCAGGCCAGGGTAGGACTGTTCATTCAAAAAGCAGCCTTCACTATCACAGGCCCTGACACACGAGTTTCATTGTGATCACAGTAGCCTCCAGGAAGAGCTAATGATGAGCAGGACTGGTGTTAATATAACTGGGTGCTGCTTCTCATCCACTGGCAGGGGGTAGTGTCTGTGAGACAAAGACTGGGGTTGGCTGCCATTTATTCCTGCCCGTCTCACTGTGATGTGAGCTAATAGCTGCTTCATGCCTCTATTTGCCCATATGATCAATGGCAAGTGATAATCCAATGTATGCAACCTGCCTCTGCCGAAGGTGGTTATACCAAGCTACGGCTGCACTAAAGCATATTGAAATCTTTTACTTGCCCTCTTTTACTCCCATGGAGTGGTCCCTGACAGTCACTTTAATAGTTACTAGCCGGCACCATTTACCTTTCTTTTCCCACTTCGCTGTGATCTTAGTAAGTACAGTGATTCTGTGGTGATCAACTTGCTTGGACTGAGGTGGGTGGGGAAGACTCCACAGAGACTCCCAGGGATCATTTTCCATAGGAAAAACTACTTTTGGTGGGATCCGGCCCATTCTAACAGCAGAAGGTCAAGTTTCCACAATGGCCCCGATCCACTTCAACTCACAAGTTACTTTTGAAAATAAGACTAAAAAAGTTGCATGGGCACTTCTGAAATCTTTACTTCAAAGCTCTGTCCTCCTGAACTTCTATAGACCTCACAGATATGTCTTCCTTAGCAGGAGACTGAGGTGGGGCTATTATCTTGCCTTTGGAGTTGCCCAAACTTCTCATGCAATTAGGTGGTAGCCTCTACCAGCTTGCTACATCTCTAGTCTCCTTTGCCTCCTGGCGTCGCACAGGGTAAAGCCTGTTTTGTCACTGCATCCACACTCTGTTGGGTTTTTTTGTCCCTCTGCTGACCACAAAAGAACCCAGCTTGCTCTGCCTTACCTCTGTTTTCTGGGAAGCACAAAGCCCCTGGAGAGAGGATGAGTGACCAGGTCACTCGTGATGGCAGTAGGTGTTAACACTTAACGCTGTGCCAGGAAGTGCTCAAATCCTATAGTGATGAGGGCAGCATAAAAACCTGTGCAGAAAAGAAGAAAAGCACGGACTCGAAGGAAAGTATGCTGAAGGTGAACCTGCTGGGGCAGAGATGGTGCAGTTTCTGTCTCTGTGCTCAGCATGTGGCACTCAGAGTGTGGGTTTGCGAAAGCCTCCTGGGCCCAGACGGTGCCTCTGTGGGAGGGGGGCTGGGTGGGGCAGAACAGGGTGCTTAAAGTGTGACTCATTTTGCTTTGAGCAGCAGAGCTATGGAGCCCTGGGGTGGGGCATTAAAGACCATGAGTACATCAGAAGAGCACTTTGGCTCACCAGGGCAGTTACAGCAGTAACTTGACTGCATTCTCCCTACAGGGCTGGGAAAAAGGGGTCGTGTTTGTCAACGGGCGGAACCTGGGACGCTACTGGAAAATTGGACCTCAGGAAACGCTGTACCTTCCTGCGACATGGCTATGGCCAGGGAATAATGAGGTGAGGGGAGTTCTGTTGAGCCCTTCTCCAGGTCATGTCTGTCTAAAGAACAGCTAGGAACACACAGTGGTTGAACACCTACCTCAACCTGCATGCAGCCAGCAGTGATCTGGGGCTGCAGCTCCCAGGGGTGAGGGGTGAATGGGATAGTGCTTTTCCTCACTTTTGCTATGAGAAAGTGGCTATAATGAATGTTGGATTTGAACCAGCATTCCCCTTTAAATTCAAACCACGGTAACTTGACAAGCAAAACCCAGCTGATTGGGCCTTTGTGTCCCATGTCTACTCTCCACTTCCCCACTTCAGTGACCTAAAGCTGCTGTCCGAAGGGACTTCAGATGAGTAGAGTAACTACACTGAGTAACTACAGACTTGGTTCTGAGTGGACTAATAGATGGACCACTCCCTCTGCTCTGAGCATCTATTTTTCCCACTTTCCCACATCCCACATTTCCTTTCCTGCCATTCAAATGCCCCTGGGTGTGCCTTTTATCCTTTAAAAGTGGTTCCTTCACAGAAGGAAGAGTGATCTTTGTTGTAAAGGGACTGTTCCCCACCATTTCTCTTTCCCAGATTGTCGTGTTTGAAGAGCACACAGCGGGCCGCATTGTGCAGTCTGTAGACACGCCTTTCCTCGGAAGGACCCAGTACGTGGACTGAGCAGGAGGGCTCCCTTCTGTTCTGTTTTTGTGGATGTTCCCAGTTTTTTATATCCAGGATGTGACAGCTCAGACACAGTCGGGCTTGTTCATTTTCCCTAGACCCACGGAAAGGATTTGCTCTTTGGCAACGAGGTTGGGAGGCAGATTGCACACCCAGGGAGTCAAATCCATCAGAGAGGCGGAAGCTCCTGTAGCTACACTGTGAAGAGTTCAACATGCCAGACGGCCCCCAGCTGGGATCCCTGTCTGTGGTGTTATGGACAATCCTGTCGAGGAGAGTGGGCGGGTGGGTCCCGCCTGCATGTAGGATGAGCCCAGCTGTTCTGAGCCTCTGTGTGTTACACTGGGGCACCTCCATTTTTGTGATTAGAAGGGAAGAAAAATTGGTGATAAGTACTAAAGAATAACCAGGTATGGAAAACGCTAGCTGGGTGAGCTCTTGAGCAGAACTGATCCCACTGTTGTGTGTAGAGAGGGTTTTATTGGTTCAGTTGTTGGAAGCAGGTTGAATGTAACTGAGTTAACTTTTAGCTTTTTCCATTAATTTTTAATATTGAGGTTGTCTCTCTCTTTTGTGGGGGGGGGGAAAAAAAAATTTGTAACAAGTTACCTGTGTGCACGTCTCTGTCCACCTGTACTCAGCGGGACTGCCGGATTGAACGGGCTCTGACACAACACGACGCAAAGCTACCAAAGGCAGGTTCACAAGGATCAGTCCCCTTGCTGAGAAACAGCTTCTCCCCCACACCTCAATCTTGCATAAATCCAGCCCAGGGGAGGCTATCATGGTCCGTCCTTTAGGGCACAGAGTCCAGCTAGTCACGGTTCTCCCTAGACCCTAATGGGAACATTGCATGAGCAGGGAGAGGAGTTGGAGAGTAGGGAAAGGGGTCACTGCACAATGCAGGCAGGGGAGCACTCCCACAGCTGCCACTTAGTCTGAAGTAAAAGTTCTTGGAAGTGTACAGTAGGGGTTTTGGATCTTGCTTAGCCATGACCAAGGGATCCTGCAGAAGAACCGCACCGTGGGTGGCTTATCTACCCCCTCCCTCCTCTGCCTTTTCACTCACCAGGGTCCAAGGTCAACATACAAAAATGGGCCAAACCTCTGGAAACTTGCTTGGCTTCTTTTTCCCTTTCTGTTTTGGTTTAAATGACCTCGGCCTTGCTCTGTAGCTCCCTGCTGCCAGTGGGAATCTGGTGTATCCAAGATTTTGGCATCTTCTCTCCTGAAACCAAGCCACCATCTGACCTTGAGTAGCCAAGAGGAGTCAGGTTAGTCCTTATGGGAGTAACTGAGCTGCATTTAGCTGCAGAAGTAAAGTTTCACTGCACCCCAAACAGCCATGCAGTGCGTTTCCAGGGAATTCTGGCTGTTAAAAACCATACTTAATTTTATTTAACAAATTTAAATACAATTTAATTAAAACTGAGAACAGACAGTGCAGCTGTAATGCACCCCATCCCCATCAGAGCCTGTCTTGCCACAGCATTTGTACCTCTGCCCTCAGCAGCTCCAAGCCCACGGTAACTACCAGACCAGCTAGAAAGGGCTGGGCTCCTGTGGCCAACTTTCCGAGGAGAGTGGAGCATTTTCACAGGGTTTTGTTTAGGATGAGGTCCTGCATGTTTCTTGGGGAATTATTCCTTTCAGAGGATGGAAGGCTGCAATCCAACAGGGTTTATCATTATTGTAAGTAAACAGACATGCAGTGAGAAGAGGACATTGTTTGAAAACCACTTGAATAGAATGAAAACTTTGTACCCCTTGGAAAATGCCTTCTATTTCACCTCTCAGATATGCAGACTGTGCAATGCCACTGGGAGGCTTGGATAATAACTGGTTGAACAGAAAGCTGCTGCTTAACAGAGTCTATGAAGGGCTTTTCCCAAAATGCAAAGGGAGACCAGTGCCATCAAATCCTTGCTAACCAGTTTGGATTCTGACCAAAAGGGCATTTTCATAGAAGCTGTAGCAAGTCTTCCATGATTGGGTGCTAAAGAACAGAACTATTTTCTAATGTTGGGGGAGGGAATAAAACTTCAAAAAAAATTTTTTTTTTTTGTTTTAAATATTAGGAAATACACAATATCATTAGTCCAAAGAGGGATGCGAAGCTAATACTCTGAAAGAAATAGTCTATGTAGTATTATATAAGATGTTATGGGTTAAAAAAATAACTGAGTCTCTTTACAGGATTATATTTATCCCTTAACTCAGGTAAAATTGTGCTTCAGACTTTTTTCAAAAGAATTGGGACAGTAACGCTCAACACCTGGCCAGAGGTAAACATCAGGCCTGGGAAGAGGTTGGAAAAGTAGCTGGAGATGGGGAAATTTGGTTAACTCTTCCTTTTGCTTCTCACCCAGCATCACCTAAGCCAATGGGTTTTGGTCAGGCATGCCACAAATTAGCCCTGCACCCTCTCCAAGTGCCCCTTCCCCTGCCCGTTCTGCTTTCTGCTCCGTGCCCTATGTGCCTGTCCTCTCCTCTCCTGCCACACACGGGAGCTGCCTGTACCACCTGTGGCACATATGCTGCTGGTTGGCCTTCCCTGACCTAAGTGAGGATCCTACCTTGAGCAGCTGACCTCATGAGGTCCCATCCAGCCCAACTTTCCCAGGATCCTAAGGTGCAAGGGCCCAGGCTGCTGCCCTCTCTCGTCTTTAACAGAGGAGCTGACCCCCCACTTCCTCTGTCAGAAGGACTCTCACTTTGGTAGCTGCAGAGGCTCCAAGTGGCTTGGGATTTTTTCTCTTCTTTTTTCCCTTTCCACCCCTGGAGCCAGCGCTGAAGCAAGCGGCACTGGGAGAGCTGCAGCTTGTGGCCTACCTGATTAGGACACTGGGTTAGGAGCAACCAATTAATTCTTGGGTTGCCCCAGCAGTCTTTCAGTGTTACTTTATTGCACCACTGGTTTTCCTCAGTCGGAGGCCCTGTATTGGGCGGAGTATTTAAATACACTACAGAAGTTGAGGGATCGAAAGATGGAAGTTAGCTCATTACTAAGAGATTTGTTATTTACCTCCTACAATTTGACCTCATTTCCAGTATGGAGACTGCAGCAGCATTTGGTGAAATACTGGAGTGGTCCCCTCGAGTACTGGGATGGAGCAGCTGGGGGTTTGTTAAAGTAACCTGTCTTGAGGTAGGTGCACACTTCAGAGAGCCCAATTCCTAAAGCTCTGCCAGTCGGGTTAGCACTAGAGAGAGGCCCGAGCTAGAAGATTCAGAGCCAAGCTCTGAACTTGCATGGAGCTTTAAGGGATTTGGCTGCAAAGGTCCAACTGGGACCCACCTCCAGTGAGTACCGCATGAGGGGGCAGGAATATAGGAGTATGTTCTGTAAACATAAATCCATACAAGTACACAGAGGTATGTCAGAGCTGTCAGACTGCCCTCCGAGCCCTGGAGCTGGCAGGGATGGGGAAGGGGGTGGGGAGCGGCTGGGAAGAGAGCAGAGATACTTGTTGGCTGGTTCTTACCTGCTATGCTTTTCACCTTCCCCAAACCCTACCATCTTGTGCAGCGTAATAAATACTGAATAAAGTAAGTTCAAAATTAAGGGATAGGGTGCCAGCTCTGTCCCCGCCACAACCGGAGAGCTGCTCCAGGCTGCTGTGCACCTAGCCACAACGTATGTCTGCGTTGGGAGAAAGTCAGTGGGGCCAAGCCACTCCTTTAGGCGTTTCTTGTCCATGCCGGAGCATCCTATGACACCAGCCCCAGGGCCTGGAGCCGCTGGGCCTCCTCTCCAGTGTATCATGCCCTGCACGCACTCCTTCCAAACCAAGCACCTCGTGAGGCTGCGGGCCTTGTACTGAAGTTGGCGTCAACACAACGGCTTCTGTGCTTTTTCTTCCTCTGTCTCCAGAGCGTCTGGTTCTGTTTGGAGTCCAGGAGCAAGGTCAGGGAGTCTGAGCGGTCTGTGCATGTGGTGGTGGTGAACTTGTTTTCAGTACTTTAAAACGTTTGGAAGCCGGAGTGGTCCTGTCTGCTCCGCATCTGGCTGTCTGCTGTTGAGAGGAGCCTGCAGGCCGGGCAAGAAGGAATCTGCAGAGAAGGGACAAACCGGGGCACCGTCACCTCCCGGAAGAGAGTGGCCAGCCTTGGAACCAGCCCAAGCCTGCCTGAGAAGACAGTTCTGGACAACTGCTGCTAGACAGCTAGGCCTTGGCGAGAGGCAGCTGTGTAACCCACCCCCCAAAGCAATACATGCCCTACAAAGCAGCTAACCATAGCCCAGGCAAGAGTGGTTCAGGCTTTCCCTGCCCAGCCGGTGGGCCCCACTGCTGGCCCAGTCCAGCGTGCAAGCACCTGTGCTACAGGAAAGCAACACCACCCCCTTGCTTTTGTCTTTCCCTCTCAACCCTTTTCATTTACTTGACCCACCTCCTGCCTCTAAGCCCTCAGAATCCACCTGCTTTCCTCTGGTCTCTCCCTCAAGGGCTCAGTCTGTGCTTCCTCCGTCATTTTAAACCAAGATAATGATATTGGCACAATGCTGTTTGGATGCTATTTCACCATTGCCATACAACAGCAGCACTGCTCTGCCCTTGCACGGGGCTAGCTTGCACGAGGGGCACTCAGGCTGTTGAACTAGAGGTGCCAAATTGAAGTGCGCTGGCGTCTTGGGTGGAAGACCCTATACCAGGAGTTTTAATGCATTTTTAAATAGTACAGAGATTTCATACTCATAGCTGTGGGACTCATTGCTATTAGATGATGTGGAACCTGACAGTTTAGCCAGATTCAAAAAAGGAGATGGGATAATTTCTTGGAGGAAAGGTGCATCAGTAGCTATTGAGCATGGGTGTTTGGGATTAAAGCCTCTGAATCAACTTCCTAGACCAGTGGTTTTTACCCTGTGGTCCGCAAACTACATCTAAGGGGACCACAAAAGGGTGACGATAATCAATCAAAAGTCTGAATATACAATTCAAAGGGATCTGCACCACTTCAAAATTTCCAAAGGGGTCAGCAAATAAAAAAGGTTGAAAACATCTGCCCTGGATCCTAAATGCTGGAGGCTGCAAGTGAGGCAACTGGATAAAACCCTGCTCATACACTCTTCCTTTCAGTAGCCACTCAGCCACTGCATGACACAGGGCCCTGGGCAAGATGGACCTGTGGTCTGACTCAGTAAATGGCATTCAACCATGCTGAATGGTTTTGACCTTCCTGAGCGTCTCTTTGCAAACACGGCAGTGTTTGCTCTAGGGACAAATTACTGCTTTAACTACACCAGCCTAGTACAAACGGTACAAGTTTCTTGTGCAGATAAGGCCTGTTTGCTCTTTGAAGTTTTCCTTGAAACTGCTGCTTTTACCCTGCTCTGTTCTCCTTTCTGTCCCACTTCAGGCTTTTTCTCCTGACCACAGACCCTTGCCTTCCCATGAGGGACTTCCCTCCTTATCCCCCATACCCTAAGCACCTTCCTTCTCTTTAATGTCTCCCTCATCCATGACTTTCTCATCTCCTGAATGTTGCTTTTCCCTTCCCCTTTCCAAAAAAGAAAATTCTCTTTCAGCGGGAAATTTCTGCAGGGTTTTTTTTCTTTTTGCTCAATGCTCTAATGTCTCCCTAGGAAGCTTTGGCATGGGGAGCTGTACCTGTTGGTCTCCGCTCATCTGTGCAAGGTCAGATTTCCACGTTGGGGTCTGTGAAGCCTTTCTTCCCCTCGTTCACCAGCACGGGCTTTTCCGTCCTTGTGTGCCAGACAAGGATCTGAACCAAACCAGCAGAAGTCATTAGCTGCATTTGCTCATTGCGCTAACAAATACTATTGCACATTAAACCAATAGTGTGATTTAACCACATGCCCTGGAGCCTAATGGTGCATTCACAGCCTTAGGCAGGTTTGTATAAAACTTCATTTGGCCAGGCTCAGCGACAGCTGAAATGCTCTGTGCACAGAAATTACCCGTTTTACAGTGCACCGTCTCAGCACATTAACCTGCTCCTTCTATGGACTTACCAACTTCTAGAGGTTCATCAACCTTGGCACTGATTTGGGAGCTGTTCCATCCCCACCAGGCAATCAAACTTGCGTGAGTGCGTGGGGAGATGCAATGTGTTTCGCTGGTGCCAAACTGAGGATCAAGCCACTGCAGCATCCTCCAGTATACCAGAAAGGGCTGACAATGGAAAAGCACTTTTTTGGTTCTCTATTACCCTCCCTATGGTGACTTAGGAAATAAAGCCACTGGATGACAGCTGCTTCAACCACCATCATCTACATAGGCTAAAAGGACCCTAGGTTTGATGTTCAGAGAGAGTCAATCCTGGAAAAGGCAAACATGGCTGCTCTGGTCTCAGTGGGAGCTTTTCTCAGCCCAATAGTTGTAGCCCACCATTCATTGCTCGTTTTCTTTCAAGGTGTCCCCCTGGGAGGCTAGTTGGGCAATTATTTTTTTAGGACTTCTTGTTGCCTCCCTTCCCTGCATCTGACGGTGTCTCAGTCCTGGACCTCCTGCTCTGAGATGTGTGCATAGTTGCAAAGCTGAAAAATCAAGTTCTGTGAGTTGAGATGGGTTAAACTGCATGCTAGTGAGCCCCATACACTGCACAGCAACCCATTAGTCCAACATCACAGCATGCCAACATCCCTTAGAGATGCCACCAATTGCTGCTGCTGCCTTTCTGTCCTTTGAAAACAGGCTCTCTAGGAACAGCACAGCTCGCCATTCCCGCATCTTTCAGCAGGCCAGAAATGCAGTGCATACACTTGTCCACCCAGTGCTGAGTGCATTGAGGCTTTTATGGTTTTGAAAATGAAAGGATTTCCCGGGCACCACTGGGTCCTTCCCTAGGAGGGACCACAGAGAAGCACCTGGTGGCTTTAGCTGCAACAGTATAAAATGAGGGTGGGTCTTGAAAAAGCAATGAAAAAGTGTCTGAGGTGTCCTACCTGCCCCAGTGACAGGCTCAGGGGGCAGTGCTGGAAGCTGGCTTCACCCCCTGCACTTGATTACATGTTCCTTATTCCTGTTTTCCCAGCCCTGCACTGGTGGCAGGAGTTACACCCCTTCAGAGCTCCAGCTTCCTGCCCTCCATCACCTGTGCACTGTACGGCTGCTTACCTGCAAAAGGCTCCCCTCTAGCTGCTATGCTAATGCCCTTTGACCCAAGCATCCATGATCTGTTGCATATGCTCTGCTGCTGGCTTGTTCTTCCTTGCTGGTAATGAGAGCGTATTCTTCTCTGGAGGCTGAACCTGGCCCTGTCTTGTCTGTGGTTAAATAGCAGCCCTCTGTCCCTCACCACCCTCTGGTTAAGCCCGTAGGCCAAATTCAGCTTCTATTTGAGAAGTCGCTGCACTTGCGGCAGGAAGCAAATCCCTCCCTGTAACATTAATGTAGCTGCTGACCTCCACCAGCTGGAAGGAACGTGGTACAACTGATCTCCCGAGCTCTTTATTCCATGCTACGCAGCATGGTAGTCAGGCTGTCATCTAGGCCAGAGCAACAGCAAGGTGCAGCTTGACTGCCTCGGCCAGCCAGCTCATTTTCAGAGCAGTGCATTCCCTTTTTGTGTGTCAAAGGAGGCTAGGATCCTATATAAATACAGCTTGAAATAGTGTGGAGGCTCTGTAGGCTTTGTGACTTGACCCTGGGTAACAATTACTTAGACAACTTTGGAACTACTAACAATTTGTCCCTATCAACATCCAGTGCAAGGAGCCCTTTGAGCAAGGCATTGCTACAGGTCTCAATCAGGATCCACCTTTAAAATCTCTGCTACTGTGACACCTGCTTCCTTACAGCTGCATCTTCTTGCCCAGCCCAAAGCATCCGACGCCAGACCAGAGCATTGACATTAAGAATCACAAGCAGCGGAGAATGAAGAGGCAAGGAGGCTATCTATCTCCTTCCTGCTCTGCTCCTGCGTGTTCCTTTTCCAGAGCAGGTTTTTTTCACTGCTGTTTTGTAGGCAGGAATGATACAGCTGGAGCCAAGCTGCAGGAGGGCACAGGGGGAAGAAATAACCCCAGGGGCCTGCTCTGCCCCTTGCCCCTGCATGACTGCAGTGCAAGTAGAGACTGCCCTGAGCGCTGCAGCACAGGCAGAATGATGTGGTGCTGTTTTCCCACCCACTCTGCGTAAGTGTGATGACATCAAGTGCAAGGCAGAGGAAGGCAGCCTCCAGGGACCCTCCTGCCCCCTAACAAGTACTGAGATATATCATGCATTTGAAAGCATTAGGTCTTTTGAAGCAGATGCTCTGCTGGCATCTAGATCCTTGGCCCCACTGCATTAGATATCTGCATGTGGTCCAGGGCAAGTCTGGCAGCTGAGACAGACTGCTTGTGTAAGCAGGAGCCTGCATCCAAGGTTGTCTCTAAGAGCAGAGGAACTTTTCCCCAGTCCTGAGTCGGCAGTGGTGTGCCCAGTCCCAAGCACTGGAGCCATTGCAAATGGTACAAAATGGGAACTCATCGTAGGCAATGTCCAGACTCGCAGCCGAACCCAAAGGATGTTTCACAGGGGAAGGGACATTGCATGGGGGATTCCCCATGCCTCTGCCCAAAGCAATGAAAGGGACTAGGCTGAGCCTGGCCCGTGCTGCTCATAGTGCAGGTTGTGCACATGATTACAGTGACCTGAAGGCATATGCTTTGCTTCAGCCAGCAGCACTTGGATTAGCTCAAATGTCCCCAGGATTGATGGTGCAGACAAAGCTGGTGTGGCCCAGAAAGAAGGAGGTGGGGCGGGGAGAGAGGGTTTCAAACCATTTCAGGGCTTTGCCTTCAGCAGGCATCACCCAACCAGCTCAGCTCTCAGTGCCCAGGCACCATGTCACACTGCACCAGTAGAAAGCCTGAGTGCAGACAGGCAAAGGAGCCACTTGATGCAGGGCACTCAGCCCTCCTGAAAACAAGGATGACCTGCCCCCCTGCCGGCTGCAGTTGGCAGCAGTAAACTAGAGCTGTGATGACAGGAAACCACTAATTCTAGTCTCTTTAACAGCTAGAAATATCCCTCGTGAGGCTGCAGGCTCTCAGTTTCTGCCCTGTTTTTGGAGGGACTTATTTGGGACTTTTTTCCCCAACTTGGAGCTAGTTCAAGTCCAGTAGCAACTGCAGCAGCTGCCAGAGGCCAGGACAGAGGGCTTGCTTTCCTCCTCCAACTCCACTGAGCGAGCTGGTGACGGCAACTGAGCCTGCCTATGGCAGTGCCCTCCACTCATGCTTGGCCCCTCTCTGGTCCTCCCAGCAGCAGCACAGTTCCCGCCTGGATCCCCTAGATATTATCCTACCCTCCATTCCAGACCCAAACGTGGCCCAGACAGGGCAGGGAGAGAAAGACCGACTATAACTGCAGCCACAACTGAGTTAGCTCAACTACATGAGCCTGCCGAATGGTTACCCGCATGGTCCATGCACACAGGACCCCACGTCCCCCCTCCTCCCCCCAACATATTTTCCATCTTCACTTAGGACTTGACTGTCTCCTTCCCTACAACCCCTTCAGCTTGTGCAGCTCCTGGCAGGATGTGGGGGCTCCTCTCCCCTGCCCTCCTTCTTGAGCTATGCTTGCTGCAGATGAGCCCACACATGGTACTGATAAAGTAAATCTCTGGGGCATCTGTGCCAAGGACATCTCTGGCTAAGGGCATCTGTACACAACTGAAGTCCTGACCTGGGCCCCATTAACCCTTGTCAACGAGCACATCACAATCCTTAATGCATGCATGCCTTTTACAGACAGGCTGGCAGTTGCAGAGCAAAGACTGAACCCTCACAGTCAGCACAGCCCCCCTTGGGAGAACAAATGCCAGTAATGAGGTCAAAAGACTAGGTGCCAGCCCAGCACAACCACCCCCAGCACTGCTGCGGAGGCCTGCCAGACAACAAGCTGGTGCTAGCCTTGCTGCTGCTGGATCTGGATCTGGACTCTGGTCCACGCTGGGCACAGGAGAGAAGGAGCCACTGCTGGGCAGAGACTGTGGAGGCAATCAAAGCCCATGGCATACGGCTGTACTCGGAGGCGGTGTCCTGTTCACAGTAGGGTCTCCTGTGAGATCTCTGTGGTGGGCCCAGGGATCCCAAATTATGCCTGTAAAACTGCAGGTTTATTCAGATCCCACCGCTATTTCCACCACGTGAGGCGGGCCAGTAGGGGGCGCTCCTGCATTGAGCCGCCCACCTTCCAGGCTCCGAATGCCTCCCTAGGGGCGCCTTATGTCCAGCCGACCCCTCTCCCGGAGCACACTCGCTAGTCTGGGGGTAACGTGCTGCCACCACCCCGAGAGTGGACTGTCTCAGCCCTGTATCC